GACTCTCTGGCGAATAGATACCGCCTTGCCAATTTCAAACTGTCTTTTGCCACCCTATGATCTGCTTAGAGATTAACAAGAACAGAAGGCTGGAGTCTTGCTATTTTGTCTGCACTCTGTCATCTTCCCTCCTGACTTCAATAAAAACCACGCATTGGGACGATTGCAGTATAAACAAAGGTTGAAACAAACAAGAGTGCTACTGACGTTGCGAGGCATGGCGGCGTCCATGATGGCGTCCCCGAACAGGAAGAGCAGGAAGCCGAGCAGGATGGAGACGGAGAACCCGAGGATGAAGGGCCGGCGGCGGCCCAGGCAGCTCCCGCACCGGTCACTGGGACAACGACATCAAGCAAGTTTGAACTGTATTTGCAACACAGATAACTGTTTTTTTTTCTGACTGTGGAACTCCTGTTTTTGTCAAGGAATAGGCATCGCTGAACAAAGATGGGGGAGGGGGGCATAGACTTTCTGTCGAGAGCCACACCAAGTTAACTTATGGATGTCGTACTCTGGAGACCCTAAATCTAATGAGAGAGACCGAAAAAAAAGGACCGAAAGAAACAAGGTCCCTAGATTTGAAATATACTAAGGGACGACAAATATGTTAGGACACAAAGTAGTCATCGTGATAACAGCAATAAATCAGTGGAACAGTACAGTACTTGTCGTCCTGTCCTGTGGATCCTTTAATCACATCTTCCTGTATCCCACTGCCGTGACTCTTTGGCCAGGAAATTAATCGAAATATTTTTCTTCTAACACATGTATCGTCAACGCCAAACGTTTCGACAATGACAGAAGTTCCTACGTATATTATTATATTGTTCTTCAACTTCTATTGTATAATGCATCCCCCATGTACAAGTCCGTACCTGTATGACCCGAGTACCGGCTGCAACAGGAAGCCTAGTACGGGACTGATAATCCATACCACCGAGTACAGGTCCTTCGGCAGCCCGATAGTTAGGAGTATCGGAGTTACTAAGGCAGCCTGGTAAAAATGAAAACAAAACGTTTATTTATTTATTTTTGGTATGCATGCATATGGGTGGTCCCTTCAGGCGAAAACGGCTGATTTCCAAGTGAGCATATGAGAACATAATACAAAGGACGTAATGTACATTAAAATAATGATTAGACATAGGAATGCTAAGTAATGCGATGAAAGCAAATCCAACAGTAGCAAAATAAAATCATTATACATGTACAATGGCGCACAGGAGGCATACATAGCAAATGAGTGCCAGTTAGTACATTTGGACTGGTCTTGTATCCAAATACATGCAGATTCCAAATAATATGCTTGATAATATGCCCCTCGGCTCAAGACCTACATATATAATGCGCCCTCCATCCCCACCTTAAAGACCAAAGACATATTTATAATTCTTACCTCTTTTTGTCATATGAGAAACCAACAAACCCACTAAGAAATAACTGGCCGGTAATGGCTATTAATTAGGTTCTACAAATGTATACACGGCATGCACTAACCTCCACGGCGTAGCAGAACTCTCTTCCCAGCATGATAGAACTGTTCAGCAGCAGTTCGCAAGTACTTCTCGTCGGCCAGGGTCCACGACTGCTACCGAGCACTTCCCCTTCATCTCCCGTCCAACAATTGCCCTCGCCACCGGGCCCGTCACCACCATTCCCCGGCCTAACGTCGCCTGATAGGCCGACTGCGTTTTCACCAGGTCTCGGTCGAGCTCCGTTCATGTTACCGACTCCCTGTCGGTTCCTCCACGGCCATGAGTCGGCCCCACCGCCAAGCGTTTCTCTGCCGCCATCCGCTACAAGCCGGACACTGTCCGTGGGTTGTTTCGATAAAGCAGCCGTCATAGAGGCCCAGTCTAGTTCCTCATTTTCTAGGACCGACGCGCCCTGAAGTTTTTCCTCAGAGTTCGCTCGCTCGTGTGTGGGCCCTTCCCTGTACACAAACATCGTCGTGCCCGAAAACTCTGAAACGTTAAAACCTGATAACTAATATTTCTACACGTTCCACACGTTTTTAGCAACTATCTTTCAAGACTGCCAATTTCAATCTAAGATCTCCTCACAATGTTATACTGAACCAACGACAAAAGACACACCACGGTATTTCAAATTCTTCTGTTAGAGGACGTTTCGCATAAAACCGAATGTCTTTGCATCAAGAAGCGCCACTGGAGTTTGCGTACGCCGTGCACAAAGAAAGTCACGGCGAAATCCGGTGCTACGGCGTTCAAACAAACCCCGGAACTTTCCCAGGTTTTCTCCCTGTGCTCGTCACAGTAACTGTCCCTGCCCGGTTCATCTTTGTTTGCACTCCCTTTCTCATCCACCACCGCAGACGAAATTTTAGGCACACGTGTTTGTCTTTCCCTTGTGTCTTCTGTTGAGTATTGTGTTTCCCAAGAACGCACCCTGCACGAGGAAGTCACCCGTTGTTGGCCAAAACAATTGATTTATCTATCAGCCTTGTTATGAAGGCTACTGCTCAAAATCAGTTGGTTATTCTCAACAATTTACCGAATGGGCTGAATTGAACTGAATTGAATCAGGTGCCCTAAGCGATATCTGGCCGATAGTAGGCTGGGAGCATTCAATTTCAAAAGTCTGTCTTTTTGTCACATTTTCACGCAGTATGTTGAATCAACCCTATCCTATCCCATACCGATAGTCATGGAGCAAAAATTCGACGCCGCTTTGCCGTACGAACGCCGTGAAAAACTACGTGCCTCCCGCCACCGGCAGTGGTGTCGGCCATTTTTGAAATTTCCGAGCGCTCGCGAACACTTCCGACTTCTTCCGACCAGAGCCGAGGACGAGTCACGTGGTTAACCACGAACGCGCTGAATCAGTCGAACTGCAGGTCATCCTGAGTTTCCGCTACATATTGATACATTTCGCGTAATGTCATAAAATTCGTTTCTTGGTATGAGAAACTGTATGAATGTGGCTACCACATGCGATATAATAAGTGATATGATAACATTCAAGTATATACAAAAAGAGGAATTGAATACAAGGTTCTGACCATTCAAAAATCGTCAAATTTGAAGTCAATCGGTTTCGAACTCTTGCGTTCGATCCATGGAACCAAGGCAGCGCGTTCCATTTTTCGCGGAAGTTCCCGAAAATTGTCGACGGGAAACGGTTACTTGGTGGATTTTGGGGCCGATTAAATGGAGGCCCCGATAAATCAAGCAACTTGTCTCTGGGCTAGTTTCTGTGCTGTTTCAAACGCCAAACGTATGAAATAATGATGCAAATGTGCTGATACTTGGTGGTATGTGTCAATACCATACAGATTGTCTTGTTCTAAATATTTCCTATTTTAATGCCCTGATATCGCTTAGGGCACCTTTAAATCAAACCAGAGGATGCTGAATGATATCTAGCTACCCTGATGTTCCAGCTCTTACTGCTAGGAGGCACCCCAGAGCAAATTCCTGGCATAAACCGTGTCAGTGACTTACTGTAGGTCAAGGCGACGGAGTAAATCGTCGCTCGAAGCCAAGAAAATGTCGTCTCGCTCCGCGGAGTCTGTTCATTCCCGTTTGATGAGATTTCCCTTTAATAGTGAGGACGCCTCATCAATCCGGGTGGAGCGAATCCGGCTCACCGGCGGCTGGATGGCGGTGAGGCTGGGTCAGTCACATCTGAGAGCCTGCATGCATTTTTACATGAGGCGTAGTGAGTTATTTTAGTTCACAGTCACTTGCTGTTCTTTACAATTAGTCTCTGGGCAGGAAATTACAATAGACATTTTATTAAAGAGTTGTTGACTGCAGCGACGGAAAATTGTGCGTGTATGTGATAGCTAATTCCCCTTGAGAAGATTGAACAGGTGATTAAGACATAGAGATTAATTGTGTTTTCCGTGCGCTCGAAGCCAGTCGCATACGTGAAAAATGGTTCATACTGGAATAAATAGGTTCCAAAACTCCGAAAGACGCGACCTTTTCAGCCCAAAGAACAGAGCAATGGAGTGTTGGCAGCTAAAACGTCCACATCGGGATATATATACACAGCCTCGCACTCGTTATGACAGCCTTAGGTCGAGACTTTGGAGATATGAAAAGAAATTGTGAGTCGTTATGTAGAACATTTCTTTGCGGTTATTTATATGGAGGCAATTTTACTTCAGGTTGATACAGCCTGGTTACCATACTAAAGAAAAGTTTATTACAAGCTCTTGCCCGTAGGTACACGTAACATGAAAATAAAGGATGGACAACAGGATGAATAACAATATAGTATGTGGCTACTCTAAATTCTAACTTATTGGGCTACCGTACCCCCGTGAAGAGGATGCAGGACTCGGGAGCTAAAATAGGTTTGGTAACCAGGCTAAGGTTGATACGGTAGTGCAAAGAGTTTATCAGTTTTCGGTTTGGCGCAAGTCATGGGCAATTAAACGGCATGAGGTGCGCGGCAGGAATATAATTATTGCAACAGTCGGGGATAATTGAATTCATCTGTAGAATAGATAATACACATGGATTTTTCATGCACGCGTTCTCCTGTGTGCCGTGCAGCACAGTGTATCTGATGAATAGTTATTCCCTCATGGTGAAGTGCCATTGACTTTCATAAGAAAACACGAGTAGGGTCAATTTCGTGCCTCAAACTATCATGCTCGTTGCGCATGATAGTCATGCGCAAAAAAAGGGTTTCTTCGCAAATAGATCGAAACTTTGAAAAAAGCCATACATCTGCAAAAAAAATCTTGATATGCAAATTAACAAAAATACATATACACAAAACACATTCTCATCCCTTACTACGTATACATAGTCTTTTATGAGGTATATCAATCCTATAGAATCGTTGTTATTTGTTCATTTATTTGTTCATCACAACGTGAAAGAGACGACAAAACAGGTTCATACGCAATAGATGCCATACGTTATATCTTGAATTATTGTTGTGCAATATAAATTTTACATTGATAACAGTAGACGGTAGTCCGCCAATGTCCTAGAACTTTTAGTCATGAAACAACTACTAGCTATAGACTAATCATATATACAAGACGGTGAAAGAAGGTGACTTCTGTATTTGCCTGACGGGAGCAAACTTCAGTCTATCGGAGCAGTTCAAAAGTTCCCACCATGTCAACCCGAAGTACCATTGACGTTCATTATTTACAAACGTGAGGCGTTTTTCACCGCGATGGTCGATTTCCCTGCAAATGCTTTCAACATCGTGACCCGAGGTTTCTCATAATGGGTGAGGGGACATCCCTGTTCATATAGTGACATTTCAACTGTGAACACTCACTCTACAGACTGAAAAGGTCGCGTCTTTCCTAGTTGTGAGAACTATTCATTCCTGTGCAGATGTGGTTAGGGTGCGGAGATGGTTGTTTGACGTTGGCAGAAACGGAGATAATCGTTGTTCAGTTGGTCTTCGATCTAAGCTCTGACTTGAAGACGTGCCCCTTTCTGACAAAGGCCAAAGCAATCGCTCAGCTGTCACACTAAAGAGTTCTACAGGGGCATTTCTTTGTTATTAGAATCCTGAGCCGAGCGCAAAGAAAGCGACCACGGAAATTACAGTCACTCTGTCTGTCGGCGCTGATAGGCAGATAGTCCGACGATAGTCCTGAGGCAGTATGGAGCTGTCAGTCTGTTGTGATGCTCCGTATGTATATAGTGTATACTGGTAGTATAGCCCTGTGATGTTGATGCCGTACTGCTTTTCAAACAGGCTCTAACAGAACCAACCGCCGACATGGATCTAAGACAACTTTTTTCCGTAACAAGACAGCTTAATTTTGAAGGACTTGTGGATGACCATCCCAAGAATGCGGTCAGATATGGTGTTCGTACGACGATCACACGATGTTTGTGACCGGGCTGCTGAATATGAGCAATTCCAGTCAAAATTCTTGTCACGACTTTGGTGCAGCTCGTTAGCCTCCAGGACGGCGCCCTCATCGCGCCCTCTCTGTGACCTGAAATTGGCCGGAGCGCAGAGAGAGTGCATAGAGATTGCCAAGGTCGCCAGGGGAGCGCGATGAGAGCGCCATGAACGTCGTCACCTCGGCGGCTGTTTTGAAGCGGCTCACACCTTCGCCGTGAGAGCGCCGAGGACGACGATCCAACAATGAGCATAGAGACAGCGCGCCATGAGCGCACAATGATCTAAACAGCCAAACATGGCGACCTTGGAGATCTCTCTGCGCTCTCTCTGCGCTCTGGCCAATTTCAGGTCGCAGAGAGAGCGCGGTGAGAGCGCAGTGAGAGCGCCGTCCAAGTGGAATGGGGCCCATATCTAGACGACCTTTGCGGCGGGGAAACCGGCGGTAACGTTACGTTCCGGACCGCCACATCTGTCAGGTGTAAAAGTCAACAGGGTTTCCCTCTGACATAGCAGGCACAACCTCATCGGAAACGGTTCCGTCAGGCATTCCTGCAAATTTAACGGAAATGGAATTCAAAAGACGAACATCTGATAGCAAAGACAGAATTCCCTCTAAATAGTTATGAATATCCCTTTTGACTCGGAAAACTCCATTTTGACAATTTGGGCATCTTTTACTCCTCTTCTTTTTTCGCGCTAGGTTT